AAATTAATCATACAGGGAACACTGCGCCAAAGCCCACAGTTTTGTTCAATGCCATTGTTCCTCTGTCCACACGCTTTCTCCTCAGATATAATTAGTCACAAAAGAAGGATATGATCTACTGCAGGAAAAAAAGGACTGTAATTATATAAACTTGGCTTTGGTGTCACTTATAAAACCTGTGACAAAGTTGCAGTCTCTCTTTATTTTATTTTTTTACCACAGAACAAGATCTTATTTTATTACACAGAATATTCAGTCTGAGATTAATAGGCCAGAAAAATAAGTTCTTGAGATTAATACATCCATTATTGCTTCTTTTCATACCTCATTTATCCCTGCTTCTCACTTTTCATCTTTCTCATCAATTCACAGTTTTTCTCACTCTTTCCCGAAGCATCTAAAAAATATCAGTTTATCATGACATGCAGTTTTATAACCCAGAGCTAATCAGCTCATTTTCAACCACAGCCAAATGTACAAAATACAGTAACAGTGTTTATTTTATGTGCTAAACCACCAAATAACTCAGAGGTCTGCTGGACTAGAAGATTGTTGTATATGATTTACTTGGATTTCTGAGTAAATTGGTCATAAATATCACAAGACAAGCACAGTCTGCTTAGTCCAATAGACTGCCCTAAAAACACTTGATATAAACCATGGCTCAAACAAAAGATCTCAAAACACAAATAGTCACTTGTAAAATTGCTACTCAAGTGGACGCCCCTGTTAATATTTACAATGCATTCGATAAACACATGAAACGCACAATTTCTTGTGAGGAATATTGGACCGTGTTCATCTACTGTTGTTACTTTGACAAAAAATACAATCGAATCCTAAAGGGTTCACATACTTTATCCTACAACTTCACTGATTATCCAGTTATATAAATGTTGTTTTGTCACACAAACAAGAGTGAAAGACGGATTTGAACAATATTCCAAAGTCTTTACTGCTGCTCTGGTGTTTATAGTGAGTCCCTGAATTTGACAGCGCCATAAAGCTAAACATCTACCGAGGTTATTATTTTATTAACATCTCCAATGTATCCCTTTGAAACTTCACACTTAAAGCCAAGCAGCCATTTCACATCCAAATCACCTGTCTTTCTGCGAAAACAATAAACTCAGAAATGCCTTGCAAAAGAGCATGTTTGCACCCAAGGGCAAGCTGATGTATCCCAGAAATCCCCATAATGCAATCCAAAGTATCTTATTGACTGGCCCCCAAGGCTCTGTTTGGACACTTGCAGAGTTAAACGGATAATTGATATAGAAGCTTAAAGTTATATGGCTTATCTGTATTTCTCTTTATAACCTTGTTATTGTTGTTCTAGAATACTAGCAGAGCTTCCGCATGAAACCTCATGCGACTCTCAAGACGAGAGTTTAATCCTTTAGGATTGTTCAGTAATAATAAATGAAGAGAGGTGTGCATTCAAAGCGAATACTACAGGTGCCGAATTCAAAGCGGGAAAACAAGGGCGCACAAGCTGATGCTGATGTATAAATATATCAAGACCAGGGAGAAGCGCACTCGCTGCCTTTGATGTTAATAAATTCAGTCCGCGCCATTTGCGGTGTGCAGAGCGCAGATGCTTTATGGCAAGGTTCTGGAGAACAGTTTATCCATTAAGGAAACATATTCCCTTTCTATGGGCATACAGTGGCTGCTTTTCAGTTTTTCCAATGTCTTGTGATGTCATACGGCTTCAAAATGACCATGGGTGGTTTTATTCTTCTAAATTAAAACCATGTAAGGACAGAAATATGGTAAAGAGAATAAGGCTCTTTTCTTTTGAAACGTCCTTGTTGGGTAGACATGATCTTTTGTCACACATCTATCTCATGAAATTCATGGGGACTATAAAACGCACTTGAGAAGATAGATCTCATCTCTAAAGATTCCTTTCAAACACGCCAGCGTGCCTTGAACGCAATAACAGAACAACTATACTGAAGAATTTATAATGCCAAAATGAAAATGCTATCCCAGTCTAAAGTGAGCGTTTTAGTTTGCACATAAATGTGTGTGTGCGTGTTTACATGTGTATAAACTATGTGTGCACAATGTTTCTTTCTGGAGCATCAGTGAATATTTTGACCTTTTGCAATAGCTGTATACGAGTCCCTCAATTGTCCTCGGAGTGAAAAGATGGATCTCAAGATCATACTGTCACTGTTGGAAAGGGTTCACATATGCAAAAGATGCTGGGAAACCAAATCTGCAGGACCTGGAGGAGTTTTCTGAAGAACAGTAGGCAGTTTAACTGTTCAGGACAAACAAGGGACTCAAGAACAACCATCACAAAACCAAAAATAGTCGTTGAGCATCCACTTATGGACACACAGTAAACAGGGTTTACGCAAATTCAGCTTATATTCTGTGGACTGTATACGTCAGTTATGTAAAATATCAGGACAGTAAAAATTACATGCATTTTGTATGATCCCTCTTATTTTGTTAAACTAATTAACATAAAGTGTATGTACACTTTTGACCACAACTGTATACACACACACACAGGGTGAATTCAGGGTGATCGGGACACTTTTTACCATTGAGATGGCTTGGAAATGTGTCCTATTCAACCTGACTTCACCCCTTTATACAGTATACATATTGTAATGGGAGGAGCAATGACAGACGCATTGGGTGTGGCCTCAGGCTTTTATTGAACACAAAATAAAACAATATCTAAAAAGGGAATAAAAAGTGTTCAATAAATATTTTTGTTCTGTCTACTGTAACCTATTTATTTCTGTCCTAAACTGGCACAACTCAGTGCAGCACGCCATGAAAATTTCACTATAGCCACCCATCTTCCCCAGCACCACCTGTCTAGAACTATAGGGGCTCTCCCTGCTTATCATGCAGCAGTTCGTATCCTATTCCATGTTTTTATGTGCATGTTTCGGCAGTTGGCTACACGTATTTACATAACTACAACGAAAGTTGGAAACGCCATTTGAAATCTGAATTGAATAGACATTTGCAACAATGATTTAAAGTCAAACATGAATTGCTGTTCGCAACCCATTAGACTTTAATAACGTGACATTTCTATTCTGAGTGAAACAGGATATTCAGTAAGAAAAACTGTGGGGCAAGACTTTATTCACCAGGAATCGATTGGATTTTGAAAATTGATATTACTAGAATTAAAGGACAAGTTCGGTATTTTATACTTAAAGCCCTGTTTTAAGATCGTTTCTGATGAAATAGAACGGTTAAGATTACAATTTGGACACATGCTGCTGTCCCGAGAAATTTCGGTTTCTGTGGTTGCACCCCCCCCACCTCCACAATGGTTGCATAGGTGCACAGGAACAATCCTTCCTAAAACCCATTAAACTTTAGTTTACAAAGACGTTAAACTCACCGAGTGGTCAGGGGTGTTCACTGATATGCTCACACAAAAATCGCTGCAAAAGATGCTTTCCAACAGGTTTTATCATAGTTTTTGTCCAAGTCAAGTCAAATGGAGTTGTTCAAAAACTACGATAAAACCTGTGACAAAGTTGCAAGGAATCAGACATCAGCTGTTTAATGCTAATTAATGCTTTAACAGCTAAAATACATAATATATGTATGCACAAAACATCTGCTGCAAATTTTCAATAATTAGATCATTCTTAATTATTCCTTGCTGTCTGTTTGCTTTCAGCCTTCACTATTCTAAGAGCATCACCTGATGATGACTGTCCATTTACACCACAATCAGAAACCAACATCTCTACATGCATCAGAAGAACTGCTCTTCCTCTCAGCTGTCCGGGGATTCTGGTGCAGATAATGAATCCAAACATCACAGCCTAATTTAATAACAAACACACAATTTAATCTGAGGCCTGAACAAATAACATTCACCCCACTAAACAAAACAGCTGAAAAAGATCTATCTCCCAGGCACATCTCCTTATACCGACAAATTATATTAGAAAGATCTGTAACACAAGGTGAAGAACAAGAATGCAATAGCCTGCACAGACTATTGAGATTAATTGCAAACCGAGAGACTGTAAGAATATGTTGCTTAGTGGTTCAATTTACAGCTTCCCTTGAAATCAGTTTTCTAACTGTAACAATGAAATAAATGTTCAAATCAAGTAATTTTTTTCAATAAAAAGTAAATTATTAAATTTGTATTAATATTATATATACCCCAGTTCAATTAAAACTTAGGTTACACTTGATTTTAAGGTGTCCTTGTTACGGTGTAATTATACATTACTGAGTAGTATTAATTAACTACATGTACTTACTATAGGGTTAGGGTATGGTTTTATAATGCGTATGCTCTATTTTGGTTTGGTTTGATTGTGTTTTGGTTCTGTTTTCCCTGTTCTGGTTTCCATAGTTAGTTTCCTTGGTTCTACGCACCTGTTTCTGTTAAACGTGGTTATTTCCTGAGCTTCTTCCCTGTGATTCTCCTACGTGTTTATTACGAATTTACTATTAAAGACTCCTTTTGTTATCCTTTGTGATCATGCGCTTACTACAGCCTACACAGCGCCTGACAGATTTAGGGTTACTTGTATGTAATTATGCATAATGTATAGTTATTCCTATATTAAGTACATGTAACATTTAACAAGGACAATGTTATCATAACATTACATTATTAATAAAATGTTATATATATATATATATATATATTCTAAAATACAATGCTAAATAAAAATATAGAAAAATATATTTTTTTAAGTTAACATTATTAAATTATTATTATTTTAAATGTATGATCAATTAATATAGATGTTTTTTCTGAAATATGCCACAACTGTCTGTACAATTTTGAGGAGTTCTCATGGCATTTGGTATCTGTTGATCTTTGACTGCTGACTCATATCTGGTGAAATAATTGCTTTGTCAAAAAGGTGTGTTCTGATGGGGTCGTGGTCTGCTGGGAACAAAACAATGGAAAATGTAAATACTTTAACTTTTGCACTGATTGTGTTCAAAATGTTGAAAAACACCGAGCGGAAAACAGACAGGGTCTTACAGATGCTTATTTATTTTATGTATCTACATTCTAATGGAATGCAATGTAACATTCATGCTCTAGATTGTGTCTCTGGAGGAGCATATGAGCGTAATATTTGACATGTAAAGACAAGTACTAACACACAAAAACAGATACAACAGAGAATTTCATACCAACTCAGTCCTGAAATATGACAGTGGTGTACTTGGATAAGTTGAAAGCACACCACTGAAATCAAATGATCAGCGACCAACCCTGGAGCAGAAGTGTCAATTCATCCAGCAGAATCTTAATTGTTCACTTTCAGCACAAACAGGTTGTTGGCAGTCAGGACAAACAGTCTCTCATTAGTGGCCCTGAATCCAAGTACGGGGTCATTGGTGTCCAGGTTGGCTACCTGTTGTTTGGCGACCTGCCCGACCTGCCTACCCTGTTTCCGGTTGAAGAGCACCGTGTCGACCGGCAGAGGCTGACGGTAAATGAAGACACGCCTGAGGCACTCACAAAGAGCTGCGTAGGAGAAGTTGGGGGCACAGGTCGCAAACTTTTTATCACGTTTTGAAGCCTGAACATAACCTAAACGTGGGATAAGATGAAAGAATGAAGATTTATAAGAACAGTTTTAGAGCAAAACATCATCTCACTGTCCAATTAGACATTACAAAAAAAAAAAAAAAGAAATTAAAATCACTATAAGATGGAAGTTTAAGAGCTTTTAAGACATTTCACAGTGTTCACAAACAACTTGTCTTACCGAGTGCGTTAAAAGTAGAAATGTGCTCCCATATATTGTTGTCCTGGTTTGTACGGGTCTGCCAGAGCAGTGCATCGACATCGTGCCGTAAGCAGAAAGCGGGCACCTCAGAGGGGTCAATATGCACGGAGAAAAGGAACTGGTGGCTTCCTAGGCTCACCTAAAGGTCAAGAAAAGGCATGTAAATAATTCAAAATTATCTGTGTATGTCTTTTTAAAAATGTTTTAAACACTACCGTTTAAAAGTTTGGGGTTGGTAAGTAAGATGTGTTTGAAAGAAGTGTCTTATGTTCACCAAGGCAGCATTTGTTGATCAAAAATACAGTAAAACAGAAATATTGGTAAATATTATTACCCATTTCTTTAAAATTCTTAAAAAAATATTTTACAACTTAATTTATTCCTGTGATAGCAAAGCTGAATTTTCAGCATCATAACTCCAATCTTCAGTCACATGATCCTTCAGAAATCATTCTAATATGCCAAATTTGCTGCTAAAGAACCATTTCTTATTATTATCAATGTTGAAAACATTTGTGCTGCTTAATCTTTTTGCGGAAACCAATTTTTTGGATACTTTGCTGAACACAAAGTTAAAAAGGACAACTTTAATTTGTCTTTACTGTCAATTTTGATCAATTTAATGCAACCTTGCTGAACAAGGATTTTTTTTAAATCCTATTGGCCACAAACTTTTTAACAGTAATGTATATGTTAAAAAAAGAAAAGGAAAAAAAGAATCAGATGTGTTCCAATTAATTCTTTATATTTAGACTATTTAAAATTGGTCTAATTTTTGCATTATGTACAAATTTAAATGATCTACAACATTGTCATTGTTAAAGCATTTGTAAAATGAAATTGTAAAATAAAGTAAAATTGTAAAAATAAAATAAAATTGTAAAATAAAGCATTTGTAAAATTTTGTCTAAACCTTGTTGTTAAAAAAAAAATACATACTCTGTGCTGTTGCCTCTTGAAGAAGCAGAATGGATATGAATGGATATTGAATTATTTTGAGTCAATTATTCATTGTACTGTCTGTCTATTATGCTGTCTCTCTAGCAGAAAATGAAATGAGAAAGAAAAAGATCTTCAAAGATCTTCATACATAAAAAGATCCCATTACGAGGCGCCCATCTGAAACGACAGCAGGATTGAACCATCAAGAGTAAACAACAGCAATGCAAGATGGTGGCAGCTGTAAGTCAATCATTATAGTCACAGACATGATTTAAAATGTCTCTCTAGTTATGGATCACAACAGTTTTCATGTTGTACCGAAAATGATAAGCGTTACGACTTCAATTCTCAAGTGACGGTTTTGTACCTCTGCTTTTACACTTGTCCTAAAATCCGTTTGATGAATGCTAGCTACCAACATCTCCTTAAAAATGCATCTTGCTTTGCTCACTAGTCTAACTGCACATTAAATTCAAAGCAAATATATGACGGTCGCTATTCACAAGTGATGACAGCTTTATATGCTCAAATGCCTCTTAAAATTGCCAACACTTTCATTCAAAATGCTGCTAAATTACCTCTAGAAACCTGTTCAGATCTAGTCTGGAATTAGTTTAATTGCTGATATTTATCTATGTAGAAAGGAAATGAGTGATTCTATACTACAGGATGTATTTGGATGTCAAAAGTATTAATTATTTGGTTTTGGCATCCAGAGATTAGAGCTGAAATGACAAATGTTATGTCCTTGCATTTCAAAAAGAACAGTGAAAGCTCTATTCTAACCCAAAGTTAGCTGCCTTGAGCTTTCCTGCATTCACAGAAAACTGCCTTCTAAGGCAGCATCCTAACTGAAACATCATACTGTATGTTACTGATTTGAAACCCTCTAAATAAGCAGCCATTCTGTGCGATGTGTGCCACACAAAGCAGCACCGCAACTTCCAAAGTTTTGGAAGATTTGATTTTACTTTGGGCACTTATGTAGCAATTTCAGCTTAATCCTTTCACCCAAAAATGAAAATTATCCCATAATTTACTCACCCTAAAGCCATCCTAGGACTTTTCTTTCAGCCAAACACAGTCGGAGTTATATTAAATAATATACTGGCTCTATCCAGCTTTGTAATGGCATTCAATAGTGCCCAAGTTTTTGAATCTCCAAAAAGCGCATCCATCCATCATAAAAGTAATCCATACGGTTCCAGGAGGTTAATGAAGGCCTTCTGAAGCAAAGCAATGCATTTTTGTAAGAAAAATAGCGATATTTATAACTTTCTAAACTATAATCACTGGTTTTTGGCACTGGCCATATATACTGGTCACGGTGGAAGGATGACTCGGGCACTATTCAATGCCATTACAAAGCTGGGAAGAGCCAGGATATTATTTAATATAACTCTGTGTTCGGATGGATTGAGGGCGAGTACATTTTTGGGTGAACTATTTACATTATATTCATTCAATTTATAAATCATTTTAAAATATTTAAATAATACAAAATATATTAATATAAAAACATTACATATATGATATAATAATTGTTCATAATATACTTCCGTTCAAAAGTTTGGGGTCAGTACATTTTTTAAAGAAAATAATACTTAAATTTAGTGACAGTAAAGACATTCATAATGTTACAAAATATTTATATTTCAATTAAATGCTGTTCTTTTGAACTTTCTATTCAAATAATCCTGAAAAATATGTATTACGGTTTCCACAAAAATTAAGCAGCCCAACTGTTTTTAACATTTATAAGAAAAAATGTTTCTTGAGGACCAAATCAGAATATTAGAATGATTTCTGAAGGATCATGTGACACTGAAGACTGGAGTAATGATGCTGGAAATTCAGCTTTGCCATCACAGGAATAAATTACATTTTAAAATATATTAAAATAGAAAAGTAATTTTTAATTGTAATAATATTTAACAATATTACTGTTTTTATTGCATTTATGATAAAAAAAATACAGCCTTAGTGAGTATATGATTTATTTTTAGATACATTTTTATGACAGTGGTGGCGAGTAAGGAGAGTAAAGAGAGACTATTTGCATTCTGTCCTTTTTATTTTTTTACACAAGGAACTCATCAAGGATCATCACTAAAAAACTAAGAAAAAAAGGAAAATAAACCACTGTTGTAGAATAAACGAGAACATAAATCTGAGAACTCAAAAAACACGTGTCTATAAATACTATAAGAGTAGGAGGAACTGAACAAGGAACAGGTGGAAATTAATCCACAACCATGGAAACAAACAAGGGCATAATTGAATACCCAGGCAAAGCTGGAAACAGAAACGAAACATGAAATGAAAACTGAGAACACATGAACTAAAATATACTTAATATATCCTAAAGACAAGCAAACAGAGGAAGATATTGATGTATCTTCACTGAGCAAGTGCAAAACATCCTAAAATTTTCTTTAACCAAAATGAGGTTTCTTAAAATCATAATATTGCTGCCTGCCTTTTGGAACAACTTTTTCAAAGAGAGCTTAAGTAGCTTACGTTCTAGTTATCTACGGTCTCAACTCGTTTGATAAAAAGTCACACACAAAGCCAACCACTCTAGACACTGCAATTATGAGGGTATTCTGAAATGTTTCCCTGTATTGTTTATGAGAGTAACTGTAACGGACCCCTGTACACGTTTATGCCGTCAACAGCAGCACACAAAGAGAACAGGAGGTCATATAATGAAACACGTCTTAAAATAAAGGCCCTTAAAATCTCTGTTTCATTATGTTCAGTGTCACACTTGCTACTGTTTGGTCTCTCGGTGAGAGGTCGAAATGTTTATGGCTCTCCACAAATGGGCACCTGGCTGTGCCAGAACTGCTTCACAAGAACATCACACAGTCTCATGTTTAATTCATGAACGCAGTGGTTGTGAAGAGCTCAACAATAAAGATTTTTTTTTTCTGCTTGCCTGCTTGGCATGCAAATATTTACACCGACCCCACCACAAAAAATTCAAAACATTTCATGTCAGGCAGCTGATTAACTTTACCTTGGCGTAACATTTTTAATCAGCAGAATTAGGAACAGTAAATGATAGGGTTGGGTAAAAATATATTTATTTCTCGATTTTATTCTCATTTTGAAGTACTGATATCGATTATTAAATCCCAAGAATCGATCTTTCAGTCTATGCTGTTTTCAGTTGATAAATGAACAAAACTTTGTAACATGCCTCTCATGCCTCTCAAAAAATGCAATATGCTTTGTGCTTTGTTATTTCTGGAACAATATCTCAGCTTTCAAATTCTGACAATTTTATTATGAAATTCAAACGATAAATACTGTTTTGGCACTCTAGTGCGACAAATTATAAAGCGCCTTTAGTTCAAGCAAAGTGGCAGCGCGAAGCGCACATAACCTGATAATCTCTTCCATTTTATTGTTAGTTATTAGGAATGCACCGATATACCACTTTTTTGAAGTTTGAGTCAGAGGCAGTGCTGGGTAGTAAGTGATTACTTGTAATCTGGATTTGTAATTAGATTCCAAAAATTAAGTACTTGTAATTAGATTATATTACAGTTTAAAATACTTGTTATCAATAAAAAAGTAACTGTAGCCTGAATACATGTTATTCTCACAATGGCAGTCAAATATTAAAAATTGACAGATTCTCTCTATTACTACTTTTTTATCTTTTAAATTTTCTTTTCTAAATACGCCTACTGCTTGCATACATTCAGAAGGTCTTCCAGGTTTGTGGAATTGCACAAACAGACCAGCCACTAGTCATGTGACTATCAGTGAAAACTGAGACCCACAGCATTTGATCACTGGATTTACGTACAGTAATCATTTCACTTTTAACAAGTGTTTTCTTAACATTCCATATCGAATCAAGTCCTGATTAACACATTTATTATTTCAATTATCACTCAGTTTCAGTGAGTCATTTAGCCATGCATTAATGTCTTTGGGAGGCTTTTGTCTTTTAAATGTTTTAAATGTCTTTTGTCTTTGTCTCTGCTGAAAGGGTCGCACAGACAGAGAGAAGCAAGGGAGGATATACCCGCCTTTACCGCATTACAGTGCGTATGGGAGAAACACTACATCGTATGTGGCCAAACCGACAGCGATACGGGTCTTAGAAGTCTCTGCCATCATCAGCCTCGACATTGACCAAATTTCCAACCACTTTTCCTCACTGATAAGATCTGAAGCACT